TCCACCCCCCTGCCCTGGGCAGGGCCACCTCCCCCCAGCCCAGGTTGCTCCAAGCCCCGTCCAACCTGGCCTTGAACACCTCCAGGGATGGGGCAGCCACAGCTTCTCGGGGCAACCTGCCCCAGGGGATCACCACCCTCACAGGAAACAACTTCTTCCCAATATCTCATCTCCATCTCCCCTCTGTCAGTGTCAAACCGTTCCCCCTCGTCCCACAGCTCCCCTCCCTGACCCAGAGTCCCCCCCAGCTCTCCTGGAGCCCCTTTAGGCACTGGAAGGGGCTCTGAGGTCTCCCCTTTTTGGCCTTCTCTTCTCCAGGCTGAACCCCCCCAACTCTCCCAGCCTGTCCTCCCAGCAGAGGGGCTCCAGCCCTCCCAGCATCTCCGGGGCCTCCTCTGGCCCCGCTCCACCAGGTCCATGTCTCTCCTGTGCTGAGGCCCCCGAGCTGGAGGCAGTACTGTCTCCAGGGGAGTTTAGCCTCACTGCTCCCTGAATGTGGGCTGTGGTCTGTGCTACTCCATGTTCCCAGCAAGTTTTACTTTCCCTTTTTTCCTGCTAAAATATATTTATGCCAATTTCTTTCCATTCCCACCATACCCACTGTGCTTTCAGTGCTGAAGAGAAATACCCAGCCACTTCATCCAACTTTCAGCAGTGCTGTGCCGACTTCTGTCACCCAGAGATGCTGACAAGCTCCCTCGTATGCTCCAACATCTACAGCATCTGCCCCAGCACTCCCAGTAGGAGAAGTTCCCCCGTGACCCTCTCAGCGAGGTGTTTGGGGGCTGCTTGGCCCCTCTACACATTGGGGCGATGCCTCCCCAGCCTTTGAGCGAGGAGCTCAAAAGGATCCTTCAAGCATCACTTCAGCATCAAGCACTTCAGCGTAGGCACCCCAGGCTGCAGGCATGGAGCTCTGCAGCATTTAAGTGCACATATCCCCCTCTCTGCAGGACGGCCACATGCAGAATTGTAGCAAAGACGGGTGGAGGAGATGCAAAGACCAAAGGTTTGTGTCTATCATAACCACAGCACTCATCTGTCCTGGTTTGCAGCTCTGCCGGGGGGTCTGCTAATGAGGCTGGACACCCCCAGGTCAGGCAATGAAAAGGTTAAATTTTGGGTGATAACGGTTGTTTTGGCAAGCCGTCTCTGAGTCTGAGCTGTTCTGACACCAGCAGTTTAGGGAGGACGTCTGTAAGGTCTTAGTGACCCTCACACGGTTGTTAGTATGGAAACGGTGAAGCTGTGCCGTTGGACACGTTGAGCCCAGTGAGGGATGCAGCAGGCAAAACCCACCCATGAGAAGGGGGAGATGCTCCGAGGGCTGGACAAGGAACAACACCCCCGTGCTGCTCCCCAGGATTGTTCCATCTTTCTGACCCTCTGCTTGGTCAGCTATGGAGGTGAGCCCAGGAGGGATGAGGAATACCCAGGAGCTTCACTCTTGGATGGTTTTTTTTTTCCATAAATGACTATTTGAGCACTAACAAAAGGGCAATTTTTGCCTTTTGGTTTTTACGACCTCGTCCCCCCTCCAGAGCCGTGGATTTTGGAGGCACCTGGTCAGCAGAGGACTGGATCCACCACCTCAGAGGAGAGGAGCTCCAGCGCTGCCCATGCCCAGCCAGCGCAGCTATAGTGAAGCAGGAGATAGCTGTGGGACAGGACTAGGGTTCCCCCATCAATTCATGGCCATGGTGACTTGGAGACCTCACCTGTTGGTGATGGCTTGGCTGGCAACCTGGGGGGAGGCAGCCAGACCTTTGGCCATGGTTTGCTAAACTCATGCCTTTTTCAGTGGCCATTTTGCGATAATATTCAAGTGAAACAGTTGGAGCCACCACACTGCTGGTGGGAAAGGTCTCAGGGAGCAGCAAACCCTGCGGGGTGTCCCACAGCAATGAGGAGGGGAGGAGACGGGGCACAGAGCCCCATGGGATGCTACTCCAGTTTTTGTGAGGGCTTTGAAATAAATAAACATCCAGGATTTCAAGTACACAGGCAGGAGGGTGCTTACTTTTTAAAAAAAAAGCCCTGGAATTTCTAAGTTGGAAAAAAAACAGCCTCAAAGCCTGGCACGCCACCCACCTATTCTTTCCTTTCAGGTTAGTCTGGTTTCTTCTGCTCTCATTTTTCTGAGGACAGAAGGTTTGGGTGAAAAGGGAAAGGAGGATCAGGTGTGGGGCTGACTCTCCCCGAGACCTCTCCGGTTTCATCCCACCAGCCCAAGCCCTGGGAACTGGGTGCCACCACATCCTAGGGACATTGGTAGTCAACAGGTTGACCACCACATCCTAGGGACATCAGTACTCACAGGTTGACCACGACATTCTAGGGACATCAGCACTCATGGGTTGTCCACCATGTCCTAGGGACATCGATACTCACAGGTTGACCACCATGTTCTAGGGACATTGGTACCCACAGGTTGACCACAATGTCCTAGGGACATCGATACTCACAGGTTGACCACCATGTTCTAGGGACATCGGTACCCACAGGTTGACCACAATGTCCTAGGGACATCGATACTCACAGGTTGACCACCGTGTCCTAGGAACATCGATACTCACAGGTTGACCACCGTGTCCTAGGAACATTGATACTCACAGGTTGACCACCATGTCCTAGGGACATCGACACCCACAGGTTGACCACAATGTCCTAGGGACATCGGCACTCAGGTTGACGACTATGTCCTAGGGACATTGGTACTCAACAATTCGACCACAACATCCTAGGGACATCAGTACTCAACAGGTTGACCACCAGGTCTGAGGGACATTGGTATTCAACAGGTTGATGACCATGTCCTAGGGACATCGATACTCACAGGTTGACCACCACGTCTGAGGGACATTGGTACTCACAGGTCAAGCGGATGAGGATATCTCTCCTTTTCCTTGGCAGGCAGCACAAAGTAGGGAAGAGGGTACAGCGTCCCGCTCTTGTCTCGGTAAAACTCACGGTGCTGCTGGGTCAGCTACAGATAAAGGCAAGCATCCCGGCGTTTCAGCTGAGTTCAGTGCTCCAAATTTTGTTGGCACCGGGATTTTGCAGGGTTGACTACTGCAAGCACATGGTGACCACCTCCCCGCTCTCCCCCTGCAGAAGGGCCGGCCACCGCCGTGTCCCTGCCCTGCCTCCCACGCTCGGGCTGCTGCGCTGACAGGCAAATTAATAAGCGGCGTCCGTGGTCGCCTCATTAATTTGGCAGCGTGGGTAGCGTCATTCGTGGTGCGCCGGGAGGTGTTAGCAAGAAACGTGCCCTGCCGAGGCACCGCGGTGCCCTGCTGCTTCCCAAACACGGGGTTATCTCAGGTACTTGCGCAGGGAGGTCTCTGCCCGCTGTTCTGCCCACAGCGCCCACTGCCTTCAAGACCCCCACCTTGTCCTCTGCCCTCCGGCGTGCCCGACCACGGAGACAGGGGCTCTGGAAGGGGTTAAGCTGGTGGCTGAGATGGGGGGCTGCCCCCCCATGCACCCCCCGGTGCAGCAGCTCTGGCTGTCCTCAGGCATCAAAAAAAGGGTAGATGTGGTACTTGGGGACATGGTTTAGAAGCGGTTTTGTCAGGGTAGGTTGATGGTTGGACTTGATGATCTTAAAGGTCCCTTCCAACCTCAGCAATTCTATGATTCTGTGATTCTATGATTAAACACGGACAGCATGCAGACGCACAAGCGATGCCTGGGTTAAACCCTCCCGGGCTTGTTTCGGTTTTGTGAACACACCGACAATCATAGAATCGTAGAATCATTATGGTGGGAAGGGACCTTGAAGATCATTGAGTCCTGTCATTAACCCAGCACTGCCAAAAACCACCACTAACCACGTCCCTCAGCACCACATCTGCCCGTATTAATACCCCCAGGGATGGCGACTCCACCCCTGCCCTGGGCAGCCTGTGCCAGTGCTTCACAATCCTTCTGGTGAGGGCATTTCTCCTCATCTCCATCCTAAACCTCCCCTGGTGCAACCTGAGGCCGTTCCCTCTCGTCCCATCGCCTGTTCCTGGGGAGCAGAGACCGCCCCCCCCTCGCTGCCCCCTCCTTTCAGGGCGCTGTAGAGAGCGAGAAGGTCTCCCCTCACCCTCCTCTTCTCCAGGCTGAGCACCCCCAGGGCCCTCGGCCGCCCCTCACCAGACGTGTGCTCCAGACACTCAAGCTGCCTGGAGTCAGATTTGGTGGCTGCGGTGACATCCCTGCCCATGCACAGAGAGCAGAGGAGGGGTCCTCTCTCTCTAGCCCCCAGCAGCCAGCCGTGGCCACCCTGGCTCCCCTCCATGGTCCCCCCACTGTGTCCTCACCTGGTGAAACCTGCTCAGTTCCTGCGATCGGCCGCCGTCCAGGCAGAAGCGGGTGCGCAGTGGGGTGTGCGGGTACAGGTCCTGTCCCTCTGCTTGGCATGCCGTCACCATCTGGGCACCCTGGGGGTATCTCATGGTGGCCTTCTCGCGGGTGTTTCTGAAGGAAAAGGCTGGATTTGGGTTGTGCCTTCAACACTTGAGTGGGAAACGTGGTCAACAAGGGCCACACTGGGATTTTCCAGGAGCAGGGATCTCCCTTCTCCTCCCCGGCTCTGCAAAGCGCCGATGGGCGCCAGCACCCGCCTCTCTGGGTTTAAATAACCCCACTTTGGTGAAGAGACATCTTTGATGCGCAGTGTTGCATCTGGGGATACACAGCTGCTCAGGGGATCCTGGTGACGGAGGGAACCGCTCCTTCATGTCCCAGGAGATGCACGGTTTTCATTTTCCCTTTCAAGCACCCTTCCCTGCGTTTTCGGGAGGGTCCAGGCAGGGAGCTGCTGCCAGCAGAGCGGGGTCCACCACATCCCCAGCTGTGCTGAAACTGGCTGTGCACCCCAGGAATGGGGAAGGGGAGCAGGTCCTGGCAGAAAACCTGCAGGGGCGATGAATGGGACCCCTCTATTCCAAACCCGCAGAGCTCCGGCGTGCAGGAGAGGTTGGCATGTGTTTTGGCCAGCTGTCTCCTGGTGGCCTCACCTCCCATGGACCGTGGGGGTTCAGGCTGAGGATGGTACCAAACTCAATGCGTTCCTACCGGGCAGCTGGCAGAGGGCTCAGGGGGGATGGGGAGATGCTGCAGAGCATCTCGAGGGACCATTCTTCTCCTGGGATGGTCCCAGAGGCCCCGTGATGCTGCATCCCATAAAGCAACGAGGAGCTTCCCTCAATCAGGGAACAGCCCCACATATGTCCCCTTTCCAAAACCCAGGCTGGGTCAGGGAATTCATCGGGACACGGCGCCGGTTGGCCCTGAGAGCAGGGCAGGGCTGCCCAGACTCCGTTCTACCACTTCATCTGCCCCACAAAGTCATCGTTTGGAAGTTCCCTTAGCTCTTTGCACTCTCAGAGCGGCAAATCCAGCTATCGCTAATGATGAACAGTAAAAAACTAAACTTCATTGACCCCTTCAGCCACCCCGGAGAGCTCGCAGGACTCCCCGGGTGTTCCCACATCGCCGGAATGTGGCATTACTCTCCCTCCGGCTTCTCGCAATGGCTGCGCGCGATCGGCTTTCCTGCAAAGGCACTGCCGCGTTTCACGGGAGGCGGTGGAAACGGCTTCGTTTGGCCAAGCAACCTCACCCGAGGCATATTGGAGTTAATTTTGCTGCCGCCTGGGATGCTCTGCCTCTGCCTCTAACCCGAAACCAGCCTTTCAGCTGGTGCGGGAGACCTTGGCTCTGAGCGCAGAGCTGTACCCTCCTGCAAAAGCCTGGAGAAGAAAAGGAATAGCTAAGGGGAAAAGAAGGAAATATAGCCCTTTCCCCTTGCTGCCAGGGGGGAGATAACAGAGCTGTTGAAGTAAGGAGATAACCAAAGGCAAAAATCAATGACAGACTACTTAGTGCGTCCCCTGGGCAATGAGACCCCGGGGCTCGCCGAGCCCTGTGCCTTGTGCCCCCTCCCCAGGGACCACTAGATGGTCTCTAATGTCACTTCCAACCCAAACCATTTGATTATTCTACGTGTGGCCGGCGACATTGCCCTGCAATGCCGTTCGCCTCTACTGGTATTAACAGACCACAAATCCAAAGCAAAGCAGTCGATAAAGATATCATCTGCTGTGTAAGTACCCTGTTCATGCCATCCCTCCACGGCGCGGGGAGTATTTGTGCGAACAGGTCCCGAAAATGTGGGATGCGACCTAAGCGTGCAAGCCCCTGTGCGGCCGCATGGGTGCCCAACCTGCACCCAGGGCAGGGGGAGCGGAGCCCATCGCCCGGGGCATCGTGCCCCGCAGCTCCCCGCGTTCGGGTGTTTCTCCCGGCAGCGTGGCTGCGGGTTTGCTGTGCGCCAGAGCAGCTGAAGAAGAGGAAAAATGAGAGACTGGGCAGCAAACCGACGTTGGGGTTTAAGCTGTGACATGCGAACCAGGAGTGGGCTGTCAACCGGAGCTGAAAATGATGCTCTCAAAAGACCAGGGGTAAATTTATATATATACATATATATTTATATAACCATAGAATGGTTTGAATTGGAAGGGACTTTAAAGACCATCCAGTCCCACCCCCTGCCCTGGGCAGGGCCACCTCCCCCCAGCCCAGGTTGCCCCAAGCCCCGTCCAACCTGGCCTTGAACACCTCCAGGGATGGGGCAGCCACAGCTTCTCGGGGCAACCTGCCCCAGGGGATCACCACCCGCACAGGGAAAAATTTCTTCCTAATACCTAGCCTGAATCTCCCCTCTGTCAGTGTCAAACCGTTCCCCCTCGTCCCACGGCTCCCCTCCCTGATCCAGAGTCCCTCCGCAGCTCTCCTGAAGCCCCTTTAGGCACTGGAAGGGGCTCTGAGGTCTGCACGGAGCCTTCTCTTCTCCAGGCCGAACAACCACAACTCTTTCAGCCTGAATTGTATATATATATATATATATCTATATATATATCTCCTACAAATATAGCTCTGCCTGCAAGGGAGAGATGGACTCTGGCATCTCTCTGCTCTGGGAGAGCAGCGGGAGAGGGATGGATGCCAACCACACACATAACCCCACCGGCCAGGAGCCCGTGGGTCCCGGTGCACCTCCTGAGTGCACGGGACACGCAGCACTGCCATCCCGGGCTGGCTCTATATCCGGGGAAAGCTGCCAGGGACTGGAATTCCCACCCAGGGCAAGGGCTGTCCCGGGGCAAGGGCATCCCCCGGCAGTTTGGACCAGCGCTGGCTGCAGCACGAAGCTTTGCTTTGCGCAAACAAAAGGAGACATGAAAGAAAACAAGAGAAGGGAGGGGAGAAAATATGTGGTGATGGGAAAGGGCTGGGGAAGCAGCGGGGGGATGAGCCAAAACTTGGTGCGGCTCACTCGGGCAAGAGAGAGTTGGGGTCTGTCGGGGAGAGGAGAAGTCCCCAAAGTCCTCCCTGGAGCAGGCGGATGCGTTAGCAAGGTGCACAGGAGTCATCCGCCTCTCTCAAAGGCTGCATGCATTATTCACCGCCCTCGCGCGATACGCATGAGGAGGTGAGGAAATCCACCCTCTACAGCCACCGAGAAAAAGGACAACCCCTGACCCGTGTAAAAGAGCCTGAGGAAACATGAAGACGTGGGGTTGCAAGGGCAGAGCAGGCAGGAGATGGAGTCCCCGCAGTGCCCGGCTCCTACAGCACGTGCTGAATGCAGTCTTATAAGAGGAAGGGTACAAGGGTTTTGGGGCAGGGTGCAGGACCCTTGATGGGTGCAGGGGTTTTGGGGCAGGGTGCAAGACTCAGGAAGGGTACAGGGTCCATGGGGCAGGGTGGAGGACCCATAAAGTGTGTCCATGGGGCGGGGTGCAGGACCCACGAAGGGTCCATGGGGCAGGGTGCAGGACCCATAAAGAGTGGAGTGTCCATGGGGCAGGGTGCAGGACCGACGAAGGGTGCAGGGTCCATGGGGCAGGCTGCAGGACGCATGAAGGGTCCATTGGGGAGGGTGCAGGACCCATGAAAGCTGTAGGGTCCATGGGGCAGGCTGCAGGACCCATAAAGGGTGTCCATGGGGCAGGGTGCAGGACCCATGAAAGCTGCAGAGGTTTTGAGGCAGGATGGAAGACCCATGAAAGCTTCAGGGTCCATGGGGCAGGGTACAGGACCCATAAAGAGTGGAGTGTCCATGGGGCAGGCTGCAGGACCCATAAAGAGTGGAGTGTCCATGGGGCAGGCTGCAGGACCCATAAAGAGTGGAGTGTCCATGGGGCAGGCTGCAGGACCCATAAAGAGTGGAGTGTCCATGGGGCAGGGTCTGTAGGGCCCTGGGATGCAGGTCTGGCCGTGCTCAGCCCCTACCTGCTGCCAGCTGTGTCTGGGCTTGGAGGGTCCCCGTGCCGCAGATGCCCCCGGATCTGTCCCGTTTGGTCCTGTCTGGCCCGGTTGAGTCACAAACACCATCACTGGGCAACAACGGGAGCGCAGCAACACCCCACTGAACCCCCCTTCACCCCCCACAGCACCCTGAGACCCCCGGCACCCACTCCTGAACATCCCCTGCACCCAGTGCCCGCTCCCATCCAGCCCTCCCCAACGCACCCACCCCGGCACCCATTGCCTGCACCCCTTCCCCACACCCCCCACCCTCCAGAAATGTCCCCACATTTGCATTTTTTAGGCTTTTTTTGAGGTTTTTCCCCAGTTCCTTGTGTAAGGGGAATAGTGGGCGCTGCTCCTGCCCCAGGAGGGCAACCAAGGACCTGTCCTGGAAAGGCTTTGGGAAGGGTCAGCTGCCTGTAAAGAACCAATGTAAAAAAAAAAAAAAAAAAAAAAAAGTAATAATTGCACACAGAGATCTGCACATTCTACTAAAATAATCCTTGTAGAATGATCCTTGCTTGTAAAGGGCACTGGGAGGGGTGGGAAACGGAGGGGCTGTTCTTGATTTGCATCTAAGCTCTGAGATATTTCAAATTAAAAAAAAAAAAAAATAAGATCAGAAGAAAAGAAAATAGAAATCCACGGGCTTTCAGTGCCTTCCTCACGCTAGGATGTTACCATGCCAGCTCTGGAGAAGGTCTCCCAGCCACCTTCTCTCCCAGCTTGGTCATGCAGCAGAGGTAGGGGTTGGTCCCACTGGGTCACACAGCCTCAAGTTTCAGCATCTCCAACAGCCACGGAACGGTGCAGACCCAGAGGATGGGTCTGCAGCGGAGTCAATGGGCCGTTCCTGGGTTGAGCCATGCATCCCCATCCTCGCGGCTTAGTGGCCAAGCTGCCCGAGCTCCTGCTGCCATCTTCTCTAATTCCCAGTGAGAATTGCCAGCTCTGCAGTCCCCAACATAGGAGAGACATGGACCTGGTGGAGCGGGGCCAGAGGAGGCCCCGGAGATGCTGGGAGGGCTGGAGCCCCTCTGCTGGGAGGACAGGCTGGGAGAGTTGGGGGGGTTCAGCCTGGAGAAGAGAAGGCCAAAAAGGGGAGAGCTCAGAGCCCCTTCCAGTGCCTAAAGGGGCT